AAAGTATATACTGTATGGTTTTCATTTGTTAGAACTGTAGAAAGTGCAAGCTACTGTACAGTGGCAGCAGATCAGTGCTTGCTTGGGGACTGGGAAGGAGCAGGATGGAGATTAAAAGAGAGATATGAGGTGACTTTGAAGAATGATGGTTATGTTTGCTATCTTGATTGTGGTGACAGTTTCAAACATACATATTAAAACTTTAAAAATCAAACACTTTCTGTATAGCTTACTGTATGTTAATTATACCTCAAAACGTAAAAGGGGGAGGGGACAAAGAGAAGAGAAATATGGGTATAAATTGCTGAAAGACTCGCCAACTTAGAGTTTTCAAGTGAATGGCTATCCTAAAACCTGCATTTTTAAAAAATTTATTTCTGAGCCAGGGCCCCAGGCTGGAGTGCAGTGCAACATTGCAACTCACTGCAGCCTCAGCCTCCTGGGCTCTAGCGATCCTCCCACTTCAGCCACTCAGCCTGTAGCTGGGACTACAGGTCCACAACACCATGCCCAGCTAATTTTTAAAAAAATTTTTTTGTAGAGATGGGGTCTCACTATGTTGCCCAGGCTGGTTTTGAACTCCGGGGCCCAAGCCATTCTCCCACCTCACCCTCTAAAAGTGCTGGAATTACAGGCATGAGCCACCATGCCTAGAAAAAGCTGCATATTTTTAAAGAAACATGATTTTTGTGGGGGAACTACCAAGTAAATAGTTTCAGATAAAACCTAAAAGGGATTCCCTCCTCAAGTGGACTGCAAAATTACAGTTGGAAGAGGTACATTAGTTAGGTTACAACTGCTAGGTTAAATCTTCAAACATGGCTGTTCTTTTTCAACATTTAATTTTTCAGAATTGGCTTTTCAATCATCAAACAAGAAATATTTTAAAATTAGTGGCATCGAGGTCAGAAATGTAATCAAGGAAATAGGAAATACAAAACATACCTCTTAGATTGGGGTTCCAATCTTTTGGCTATCCTGGGCCACACTGGAAGAACAATTGTCTTGGGCCACACATAAAATAGCTGATGAGTTTTAAAATTTTGCAAAAAGTCCCATGATGTTTTTAAAATTTTATGAATTTGTGTTGGGCCACTTCAAAGCTGCCCTGGGCTGCAGGTCAGACAAGCTTGCCTTAGATTACTGACTTATTACAAGAAAAGCCTGAATAGAAATGGAGCAAAAGACTTCCTAGGCAAATTTGGTACTTTTTGAAGGATTTTCAGTTCTTACATTTGTACTTCATTCATGTGAACTGGGATCCATGCTCTACAGAATGTAAACTTAGTGGTTCTGACATTGCAATGCAATTCACACAGATAGCATTTAAGAGTAGCTTTAAAGTGAGCAAGATAAACCTGAGTTCAAACTTTAGTTGTGGCATTTACTACTGACTGACTTTGGGAAGTTATTTAAGCCTGTAAAACAAACCAAGTTTGCTTACATGAAAAAAAAAAAGAGATTAACATTCACAGAATTGCAGATTAACTACACATTGGACATATACCGCATTGCTTCATATATGGTCCTAATTTTCTATAAAAAATGTTCTTGTGTCATCTTATGTCAATTCAAACATTTGTTTTTAAATCTAAAAGATTTGAGAAGTGCCGAACTGAGATAATTCATATCTGTAGTAAGTATGCATCTCAGAAGCAAGGTTTCCAAGAAACTAAAATTTGCTTAGACCAGGAAATGGCAAACTTCCTAAAAAGAGCCAGACAGTAATGTTTCAGGTCTTATGGGCCACAGATGTTCTCCGTAGCATATTCTTTTTCTTGTAACTTTTAAAAAATTTAAAATCTCAGCTCTCATGTTGTACAAAAATAGGACACAGTCTAGATTTGGCCAGGAGGCTATAGTTTACTGATCCCTTTCTCAGAAATTTCTAATAAAAATTAGCAGAAATCTAGTAATAGTGACATCTATGTTGAAAATAAGTTTGTACAGCTCTTCTATATGCCAGGCATATAGTTTTAACCCTTACAACAGAAATAAAAGCTATCATCAAACCTGGAAGACACAAGCAAACTGAGGAATAGAGAGGTCAAGCATTTTGTCTGCAGTGATGCAACTAGCAAATGGCTGCACTAAACAAGAAAGTAATTCTACAGTTGGCTTTTGTTTTGAGATGGAATTTCACTCTTGTTGCCCAGACTGGACTGGGCAAGACTGCAACGGTGCAATTTTGGTTCACTGCAACCTCCACCTCCTGGGTTCAAGCAATTCTACTGCCTCACCCAAATAGCTGGGATTACAGGCACCCACCACCACACCTGGCTAACTTTATGTATTTTTAGTGGAGACAGGGTTTCACCATGTTGGCCAGACTGGTCTCGAACTCCTAACCTCAGGTGATCCACCCACCTTGGCCTCCCAAAGTGCGGGGATTACAGGTGTGAGCAACTGTACCCAGCCAGCTTTTTCAAGATGGGGTCTCACTCACCCAGGCTGGAATGCAGTGGTGCAGTTATAGCTCACTGCAGCTTCAAACTTCTGGGTTCAAGTAATCCTCTTACCTCAGCCTCCTGAGTAGTTGAGACTATAGATGTGAACGCCCTGTGCCTGGCTGAGAGTCTGCTTTCTGTTATACTCTACTGCTTTGTTACCAATATCCTGAGTTGGTCTCTACAAGTTTGTCCTCAAATGCCTTGGTCTTCCCAAGAAGCAGTAGAGGGATATGGTTTGAGAACTCTGTCAGACTACCTCTGAGAATGTTAAGAAGAGAATAAGAGATAAAGTAAAGCAATGCAAATCAATGGCCTCAGTGACACAGGCTAGGAGCGCTCCGCAACACCTCACAAGAAACCATTCCTTCACATTAACTGTATCTGCAAGAAACACAGGGGAAGGCTCTCATCTCAATGTATCTATCTTTGGATATTTCTATCAGATACTTTTCTTCATGGTCCTACTGGAACATTTTATTTGGTTTAAAGGGTCAATACCCTGAGAATGGGAAGAATTCTGTTTGGATTACTATGCCATTCAAAAATAATCTCTGGCATAAGTCATCCAATACTCCCATTCACTCCTTCCTAGAAAGACAGAACCCTCAGGTTCTAGATGGATGCACATCCACCTTCCCCAGTAAATATTATGAATGATACTGGGAGACAAATTTCTGATTCTTGGAGAAGATGCAACACAGAATGCGGGTAAGGCTAGAAAGAAAAACACTATGATATTAAGAACTGGAAATAAAAGTAGGAACTCATTAATTCTACCCTTCTACTATATACTTCTTTTCACTCCTTCATCCCCCAGTGTTTAAAAACAAAACAAAAGCACATCTATTACAGCTATTACCCACATCTTGATGTCTAACTACCATCCCTCAATCAGAGGAATCCGAGTTCCCAAAGAAATGGCAAATTCCATGGATGGGGCAAGACAAGTACAAGATGAGCCTGGAACATTGTATTGTGTCAGAGTAAAGAAGTGCTTAAATTTATTTAAAAATACATGATGGGCAAACAGGACAGAAGAGAAACTTCCTTCGAGTAGAACAACAATCTAACAAGTGTTGAAGGAATGATGAAGGTTAAATATATGACCCTTTTGTACCATCAGAGTGATTAGTGATTCAAGCCAGACTTAGAGAATGTTTAAAGTAGTGGAGGAAAATTGACTGAAAACCTATTTACAGAGTCAGGAAGTATCTCCCCACAAATTACCTTTGTTATTATGAATCACAAAGAAAAAATAGTAATTTCATAATGGAAAAACCCAGCACCAACCTCCCCAATAACGTGTTCCAAGTTGTTACCTTTATAGGTACAAATAGTATGTGCTGCACATCACTTACCGAGTCCTCATGGAAAAATGTGTAGTTAAATCCAATTATAAGGGAACCTCAGGCAAATCCAACTTAAGAGACATTCTACAAAATAATCTCAAAAATATCAAGATCATTAAAAACAATGAAAGAGGTAGCAATTTTGATAAAAGGAGTCTAAATGCAATGTGTAAGATTTGGACTCGAGCAGAAAAAAATCAACGTATTACTGGGATCACTGTAAGATTTAAATCAATTCTGTAGGTTACATACTGTTATGTATCAATAATAAACCTTCTTTCTGGATGCAGTGGCTCACACCTGTAATCCTAGCATTTTGGAAGGCTGAGGTGGGAGGATTACTTAAGCCCAGGAATTCGACACTAGCTTAGGCAACATAGCAGGAGCCCATCTCTATAAAAATTTTAAAAATTAGGTGGGCATGGTGCTCTGTGCCTGCAGGCCCAGCTACTTGGGAGGCTGAGGCAGGAGGATTGCCTGCCCCCAGGAGTTAAGAGGCTGTGGTGAGCTATAATCACCCCTCTGTACTCAGCCTAGGCAACAGAATGAGACCCTGTCTCTAAATAAATAAATAAATGAATGACTGGAATGTTGTATTGTAGCTAAGTAGACATCCTTGTTCTTAGGAAAGCACACTTAAGTATTTAGTTTAAGAAGAAACATGTCTGTAACATATTCATATGGCAAAACTATAAGTACATATTGAGAGAATAATTCAAAGATGTTAACAATGGTTAATCTGGGTAAAGAGTATACGGGAGACTTTATATAACTTCTATAATTTTTCTGAAAGTTTTAAGTTATTTCAAAATGTTTAAAGAAATATTAAAATATACATAAGATAAAATACCTTTAGAGAGAACTATAGTAAAGACGTATTCATCTACACGTTTTAACAAAATAGGATCACATAAAAATCTCTTATTTTCTAAATTAATATATTCTGAACATCTTCCAACATCCACAGCTAAAAATTTACCTTTTCCCATTGGATGTTTGCATAGTGTGCCACTGGATTGGTAAACCACAAAATACTTGAGCTATCTATTTCTGTTTGCTACTAAAACGATGCACCGACCATCCTTTAATATACCTCCATGAAAGACATAAATTTACTTCTGAATATGAAAATTCACCTCTGGGGATATATTCCTTAATTTTAAACCTACATACCATATAAAATAATCTATGAGTCCTTAGCTACAGGGAATTTTTAGTAATTTTATTCATTTTTCAAAGCTTCACAGCTTTTAGTGAAAATAATGATCACTTTAAGTATAAAATGACAATTACAGGAATAATAACCCAAAACTCTCCCTGGCCAAAAAACCAGTTAGCATATGGCAAATATCCTTCCACACATTTATCTTCAGGCATATATTCACACCGAAAGGTGATCATTTATAGTAACTAGATCTTACCAAGAGAGTCACAGCTCTATTTCTCCCCTAAATATGAATTCTATTCCTGTTCATGGTTCTGTCATCTTGATGGATTTGTTAGAAAGATCCCCTTCCACTCCCAATACTTTTATAGGGTTTACCACTAGCATGGACTCTCCAGAAACTTGAAGATGTGCATTCAGACAGAAGTTGGTAATACACTTCTCATTTCTAAGGCTTTTTGCCAATATGGACTTTCTGGTGATATGTAAGACGTGAACGATGACGGAAGTCCTTATCACATATGTCACATTTGTATGGTTTTTCTCCAGTGTGGACTCTCTGATGGGCTTGAAGACGTGCACTCTGACTGAAGCCTTTACCACACTCTTCACATTTAAAGAGTTTTTCCCTGGTGTGAACACCCAGATGGACTCGAAGATTTGACGGGAGACTGAAGGCCTTACCGCACTCCTCACATATATGGGGTTTCTCTCCCGTGTGGACCCTCTGATGATGGCGAAGATTCAAGCTCCTACCAAAACCTTTTCCACACTCTCCACATTTGTAAGGTTTTTCTCCAGTATGGCCTCTCTGATGGTATATAAACTGCGAACTGTATCTAAAGCCCTTTCCACACACATCACATTTGTATGGCTTTTCCCCCGTGTGGACTCTCTGATGGGACTGAAGACCAGAGGACTGACTGAAGCCCTTACCACAGACACCACATTTGTATGGCTTCTCTCCAGTATGGACTCTCTGATGTACCCGAAAATCTATGGCCTGACTGAAGCTTTTATCACATTGCTCACATTTATAGGGTTTCTCTCCTGAGTGAACTCTTTGATGCGCATGAAGATTTGATCTCCAACTAAAGCCCTTTCCACATTCCTCACATTTATATGGTTTTTCTCCCGTGTGAATTACTTGGTGTAGCTTAAGATTTGAACTGTAACTGAAGTCCTTACCACACACATCACATCTGTATGGTTTCTCTCCAGTGTGGACTCTCTGATGAGTTTGAAGCTTTGAGGACTGACTGAAGCCCTTCCCACACGTTTCACATTTGAATCGTTTCTCCCCAGTGTGGACATTCTGATGGACTTGAAGATTTGAAGCCTGACTGAAGCCCTTACCACACTCCTTACATTTATAGGGTTTCTCTCCTGTGTGAACTCTGAAATGAATATGCAGATCTGTATTACGTGTAAAGCCTTTCCCACACGCCTCACATTTGTATGGCTTCTCTCCAGTGTGGACTCTCCGATGGCATATTAATGGTGAATTGTGGCTGAAGCCCTTACCACACACATCACATTTGTAGGGTTTCTCCCCAGTGTGGACTCTCTGATGGATGTGAAAATGTGCAGCCTGAGTGAAGCCCTTACCACACTCCCCACATTTATAGGGTTTCTCACCCCTGTGGACCCTCTGGTGAACACGAAGATTAACACTCCAGCCAAAGCCCTTACCACACTCTTCACATTTGTATGGTTTTTCTTCAGTGTGGACTCTCTGATGGCACTGAAAATTTGAACTTTGACTAAAGCATTTACCACATTCCTCGCATTTATAGGGTTTCTCTCCAGTATGAGTTCTGTAATGAATGATAAGACCCGTGCTGCTACTGAATCCCTTGCCACAACTGTCACATCTATAGGACTTCTCTCCTGTATGATTAGATTGATAAAAATGGAAAGAGCTCTTATTGAAGCAATCACCAGATCCATAATATCTATTGAGTTTCTCTCCCAGGTGAATTCTCTGATGAGTTTGCAGATGTGAGCTTTGACTGAGGTATTTTTCTTCTGTGTGAACATTTTGATGAAGGGGAAGCCCTGGGCTATAACTGAAGCCCATGCCACACTCACCACATGGATGGGGTTTCTCTCTTAAGGGTAATTTCTGATTGGAGCCATCACTAATGATTTTGCTACATTCATTACCTTTGCAGGGTTTCGATTCTGTGTCAATTTTAATATGCTCATGACATGATGATTTCTTCACTAAATCTTCATGTATATGCAGGTTATTTTTCACGTCAATTTGCTTACTTCTATTCTGCATCTGTGACTCACACAGATATGTATTCCTACAAGAATGCTGGGTTCTCCAAAATAGAAACTCCTGATTTTCAATATAAATAGAGCTATCTCCTTTAGGGTTCATTATATTGTTCTCATTTTCAGAAACCTGAATAGAGTCACCTTGTACTAACTGGGAACTCTTCCCCTGCAGACACCTGGTTAATTCATTTGCAACCTGTTTCCAGATTTGCCAGCAGGACAGCTCTTGATTTGAAAGGTATTTTAATGCAAATTTTCGGAGAGTCTCCACCTTATTTTGATGCTTGCTGCCTATTAAAAAACAAAAAAGTAGTATTTAGAGATGAGGGCAAGTAAACACTTTCTTCAGAAATAGAATTTCACACTTAGGCCATAGGAGAAATCCTTAATAAACTAGGAGAAACCTTTTCCTTACAGTATCATGTATTCTTTTGTCATGTTTTTCATACAGGTGTAAGCAAAGAGTGGGGTCAACAGGTTCCGATTCACTAAGTATAAATATGACCCATTTAGAATAGTAAGTCTAACAGTTTAATATGAGAGCTAAAAGCTGAAATCAGGTGGCTGCAGGGCAACAAAAAGACAATCCACATTCCAACCTACATAATATCAATTAACAACCTACGTAACTCTTGCTCAGCAGGCTTATGACAAGTGGGATTCTAATAACTAGTTACGTTAGGAAAGTTCACACTGAAGGCATAAGATAGTATTTTAGATCCTGATACAAATTATTTTCCAACAGGAAATTTGGGAAAGCAGTTGAACTAATAAGATGGTTATTCTAAAGCCTGGTAGAAATCCAAGTCTCTGGACAAGAAGTGGAAAAGGGAAAGCTAATCTTGTATAATTAGGAGAGAAGTTCAGAGAAGAAAGAAGTAGAGCATAGTGCAAACTCTTAAAGTCAACCTGGAAGACTAACAGAGGGAGAGGTATGTTCAGCTTGGAAACCTTCCTCCCAGGAAGCAGGGAGCCTTGCTTGTTCTCTCACTCCCTTCAGGTCTCTGCTCAGATGTTACTTTATCTGTGATGCCTTCCATAACACATGATGTAAAAGTAAATCTACGGTACCACCATATACCTTTTTTTTTCTGAAATGGAGTCTCACTCTGTCACCCAGGCTGGAATGCAGTGGTGCAATCTCAGCTCACTGCAACCTCCGCCTCCTGGGTTCAAGAGATTTTCCTCCTTAGCTCCCGAGTAGTGGAGATTACTGGCTCATGCCACTACACCCAGCTAGTTTTTATATTTTTAGCAGAGATGGGGTTTTGCCATGTTGGCCAGGCTGGTCTTGAACTCCGACCTCAAGTGATCCACCCACCTCGGCCTCCCAAAGTGCTGAGATTACAGGCGTGAGCCACCGTGCCCAGCCCACCATACACCTTTGACTCTTCCCAGTTCCCTTACCCTGCTTGCCTTTTCCCCACAGTACTTATTATTTGATATACTATATACTTTCCTTCTTTTTTCCCTTTGTGTCTTAGACCCACTAGAATGTAATAGTCATGAAAAAAACACGCATTTTGTTTTCTTCATTGCTTTATCCCCACTGTAACAAGGGTTTTCAAATTGTTGCGATGTAATAGTGCACCATGAAACCCAGTATGTAACTTGTGACCAAAAACAGAATAAGAGAACATGCTTAGCATATTACAAGCAATAAGCGCACCACTATAGGAAATACTTGTTTTAGTTTGTAAACATACACATAAATATGAGCATATTTATGCTCAGTCAAGATGTAAAATTATACTTAAGTTGAGGGTGGTGGTTAGAAATGTATGAAAGCTTGGCTTAGAATATTTAGGGGGTGGTTTACCAAGTCCTTAATCAAAGAATTTGCTTAAATGGAATGTTACCTTCTAATAATACAAACTGAAAAAAAATAAATATCGATAGGTATCTACACATTTCTGGATATGGCAGGCTGAGTAATAACCCCCCACCCTGAAGAGATGTCTACATCCTGAACCCGCAAACCTGTATGTTAACGTACATGGCAAAAAGGAATTTACAGGCCAGGCCCGGTGGCTCACGCCTATAATCCCAGCACTTTGGGAGGCCAAGGATCACTTAAGGTCAGGAGTTTGAGACCAGTCTGACCAACATGGTGAAACCCCGTCGCCACTAACAAAATATATTAAAAATTAGCCTGGCATGATGGTGGGCACCTGTAATCCTAGCTATTAGGGAAGCTGAGACATGAGAATCACTTGAACCCAGGAGGTAGAGGTTGCAATGAGCCAAGATCGTACCACTGCCCTTCAGCCTAGACAACAGAGGAAGACTCTGTCTTAAAAAAAAAAAGGAATTTAGAGATATGATTAAATGAAAGCTCTCAAGATAAAAAGATTATCCTGGATTAACCAGTGGGCCCAAAGTAATCACAAGTCCTTATAAAAAGGCAAGAGGGAACTCTCCCAGATTTCACCCCATGCATCTCTTCCTTTTGCTCATTCCAATGTGTATCTTTTTTGCTATAATAAAACTCTAAGTCTAGTACTTTCCTGAGTTCTGACATTCATTCTAACAAATTATCATGGGAACCCCCAAATCTGTAGCTACTTGGTCAGAAGTGACCAAAATTATCTGGGAATCCCTAAACTTAGAGCTGATATAGACAGCAGTCTTGTGGAAGACTACACCCTTAATCTGAAAGTCTGGCCTAACTTCAGGTCTTTGCTGTTGTAAGTCACTGCAACCAAAAAAGTGCTTCTCACATTGCCTGTGCTAGCAGCTAAGACTAATACATGTGGATGCAAATTACACTGGAAAACTGAATTTGAAATGCTGGAATTTCCTTTTCCTAATGAGGACTCACCTCAACTCCACAGGTATGTCAGTGCCTTTGGATTTCTGGAAATGTCCAATTCAAAACTCTAAAGAACTACTCTATGTAGGTTATATAACTGTTTAGGTATTGGAGGGAAGGGAACATGGGAAAGTGGGAAGTCACCTGTATGGATGAGGCAGTTTTCACCAATGAGTAAAGCCAACTTGAAACTGATATAAGGAAAATGATGTACTACCTGCCATATTGGCATTGATAATTTTTGACAGTGTAGTTACATATTCCAACAACTGTGAATAGCTTTTGTTTTCTAAGGTTACGTTTGAATCTTTACATATCCAGAAATGTCTTAGAAATTAAGAGTTATGTTAGAGATTCACTGGAAGATAATTCCCAATTAATTAATCACACTAGTGTGCTCTCAATCAATGAGCTAACTCAGAGTAATAGGAATGTAAGGTCTACTTGTCTCCATTCTCTGTAAGCTTTTTGTTAAGACCTCTTATAAAAACAAACCGTTCGGCTTGGCACAGTGGCTCATGCCAGTAATCCCAGCACTTTGGGAGACCAAGATGGGTGAATCACAAGGTCAGGAGTTTGAGACCAGCCTGGCCAACATGGTAAAACCCCATCTCTACTAAAAATACAACAATTAGCCAGGCATGGTGGCAGGTGCCTGTAATCCCAGCTACTCAGGAGGCTGAAGCAGGAAAATTGCTTGAACCCAGGAGGCAAAGGTTGCAGTGAGCCAAGATCATGCACTCCAGCCTTGGCAACACAGTAAGACTTCCAACCTGGGCAACAAAGTGAGACTCCATCTCGGGGAGGAGCTCTTTGTGTTCCTCTGATTTATGAGGAAAGTTTTAGAATATTATTTGTACATGGAGCATGGTTGCAAAATCCTGAAATATGTTGAGGGCATCAAAGAAAAACCTTTGAGATAGGGTGGCAGAAAATGCTACAAGATTTACTAAAAGGAGGACTTTGTCTATTATGCGAAAATGAAAAGTGACGATACCTAGGATAATTCCCGAGGTAAAGTGAAGCAAGTAGCTAACATTTCTAAGGAATCAAAGGAAACACATCAAAGGAATTTACGGATATGATTAAATGTAGACCTAAAAAGGGAGATGAACCAAAAAAGGTGCATTATATCCATCAACTACTCACAGAATTCAGGGCCTTGTCTATCATGTTAATAGATAAGCTGCCCTGTTTTTGGGTTAGGGAGAACATATAAATTTACATCATCTTGGAATACCTAATTTTTAATTTTGTGTGTGTGAGAGACAAGGTCTCACTCTTGTTCAGGTTGGTCTCAAATTCCTGGGCTCACTTGATCCTCCTGCCTCAGCCTCCCAAGTAGCTGGGACTACAAGTACATGCTAATATACCTAGCTAATTTTTAAAAAAATTTTTAATAGAGATGGAGTCTCACTATGTTGTCCAGGTTGGTCTGGAACTCTTCAGCTCAAGTGATCCTCCCACTTCAGTCTCCCATGTAGCCAGGATTACAGGTGTGCACTACTATGCCCAGCTTTTAATTTTTAAGTCAGTAGACCTGAAAAATATGCAAATTAAAGAGAAAGCAGAGAAGGAGAGAAAGGAAGGGTAAGGGGATGGAAAATGGAAGGAAGATGGTATTTCAAATTAAAATGAAAAATTTAAACACAGGAGGCCTCTCTACTGATATAACATTTAAGCAGTGACTTGAGTGCAATAAGTAAGGTGTTGGGGAGACTCTCCACCAACGAAAGGAGGAGAGCTAGTCAGAGGCCGTGGAACAGAAGGGAACTCAGTATGTTTAACAAATACTCCAAGGGCAGCCAACATGGCTGGGATGATCTAAGCAAAGGGAAAGGAATGGCAGATCAAAGAGAAACTTGGTGAGATCAGACCAGTTAGGGTCTTGCAGTTCAGTACAAGGCTTCTGAGTGAAATGGGAAGGTTGTGAAGGCTTCTGAGCAGAGGAATGACATAATCTAATGTGTTCTTTAAAGAACCATTTTGGGCCGGGTACAGCAGCTCACATCTGTAATCCCCGCACTTTGGGAGGCTGAGGTGGGAAGACTGCTTGAGCCTAGGAGTTTCAGACCAGCCTGGGCAACACAGCAAGACCTCATCTCTACAAAAACTAAAAAATTAGCCAGTTGTCATGATATACACCTGTAGTCCTAGCTACTTGGAAGGCTGAGGCAGGAGGATCACTTGAAATCAGGAGGATAAGGCTGTAGTAAGCTACACTCACACCACTGCCCTCCAGCTTGGGAGAAAGGGTGAGACCCTATCTCAAAAAATAAAAAGATATTTTTAAAAAGAACCACTCTGGCTACCATTTAGAAAGGAGACTATAGGAGCACAAGGGAGGAGGTAGGGAGACCAGCATGGAAGCTGCTGTTATAATCCAGATGAAAGATGATAGCACTTGGACCAGGGAGGTCATGGACATGGTAAGATGCAGACTAATCAGTACCTGAAAGAACAGCCGCAGGGTTCTCGCCAGAATACCTACTTCTTTGGGTTTCTGCTTCCATCATCCAAAGCTTTTCTTCTGCTTCCAGTTGGGATACCATATCTGATTGGAAGGGAAGATGCCCTATGAAAATGTAAATTTATATGTATTTAAGATGAACACACAACTCAAATACATTTTTGTCAGAACCTATAAGCTTCACAACCCCTAGAGTGATATGTTATTACTTATTTTATTTATTTATTTAGTTTTTGAGACAGAGTCTCGCTCTGTTGCCCAGGCTGAAGTGCAATGGCACAATCTCGGCTCACTGCAACCTCTGCCTCACCTCCAGGGTTCAAGTGATCCTCCTCCCTTCCTAGTAATTGGAATTACAGGTGCCTGCCACCACGCCCAGCTAATTTCTGCATTTTTAGTAGAGATGGGATTTCACCACGTTGGCCAGGCTGGTCTCGAACTCCTGACCTCAAGTGATCCACCCACCTTGGCCTCCCAAAGTGCTGCGATTACAAGCATAAGCCACCACGTCCGACCTCTAGAGTGATTTATTTTAAGATGTTTTTAGATCATGAACTATAATAAGAAATTTAGGTTGTGGCCTGGTTCATATATATATATATGAGATTTAGCAGAATTCCTGGCTACTACCCACAAAATGCCAATAGCACCCCTCCATCAGGTGTAACAACCATTTCCAGACAATGCCAAATATCTTCTAGGGGCAAAATCACCAGTGGTTGAGAACCAGCAATTTAAAAGGACAGAATTTTGCCTGAGCAGAAAGACTAGAAAAAACTGATGCTGTTGTCCCAGGGATTAGAAAACCTTTTGTCTTCAAGAACAAGGAACCATTTTAAAAGGTCCAAACCCTTGAACACCTCTTCAAGCACAAAGATTATCAAGGGAGTTCAGGTTCAGGGTCAGAGAGCACCTGTCCTTACCTACTGCAACGAGGTTCTTGAAGTTCTCCACCATGACATCTCGGTATAGCTTCCTCTGTGTAAGATCCAGCAGTCGCAGTTCCTCACTGGAGAAAACCACAGCCACATCCTTGAATGTCACAGCCTCCTACAACATCAAACACACGTAACCTCAATCTTATAACCAACCTCCACTGGAAGAAGGGTGGCATCAAGAAGGAAAAAGAGCACCACAAAAAAATTGTTAGAGATTCCAAGAGATCTCAGTCAATTTTCAATTCTGACAGTTTCTCTCACTATCTCCTCCCCCCGCCCCTACAAAGCCTGGACTTTATCACTCCTTTTTTTGGTTTTTTCTTTTTTGAAATGGAGTCTCACTCTGTCATCCATGCTAGAGTGCAGTGGCACAATCTCTGCTCACTGCAGCCTCCATCGCCTGGGTTTAGAGATTCTCCTGCCTTAGCCTCCCAAGTAGCTAGGATTACAGGAGCCTACCACCAAACCCAGCTGACTTTTGTATTTTTTTAGTAGAGATGGGGTTTCACCATGTTGACCAGGCTGGTCTCAAACACCTGACCTCCGGTGATCCACTGGCCACAGAGTCCCAAAGTGCTGGGAACAGGCCTGAGCCACCACACCTGGCCCTATCACCATTTTTAATGTTTGCAAAGTTCACAGGCCTTCAGCAACCCTGAAGACAGGTATGTAGTTCTTCCTGTGCTTTCAAGGCACATGTCCTTTTATCTACCTACTACAGGATGCACAGCTGCTTAAAGAGCACTGGCTCTGGAGTTTAGCCAGGTTCAAATTTCAAGGTTTTGCCTTTTACTAATTATAGGACCTTGGGCAAATTCCTTAATCTCTCACTATCTCAATTTCTTCTTTATCATGCTATCTAAATAATAAGTTGTATGAGCCTGACACAGAAGAACTGCTTCGGCCCAGGAGCTTGAGGCTACAGTGAGCCATGATTGTGCCACTGCATTTCAGCCTGGACAACAGAGTGAGACCCTGTCTCAATTTTTAAAAATAAATAAATTTTCGAGCTAGGTACAGTGGCTCACACCTGTAATGCCAGGACTTTTGGAGGCCTCACTTGAGGCTAGGAGTTTGAGACCAACCTGGCCAACAAGCTGAAACCCTGAAACCCCATCTCCACTAAAAATACAAAAAAATAGGCCAGGCGCAGTGGCTCACGCCTGTAATCCCAGCACTTAGGGAGGCCAAGGCGGGTGGATCACGAGGTCAAGAGATCGAGACCATCCTGGTCAACATGGTGAAACCCCGTCTCTACTAAAAATACAAAAAATTAGCTGGGCACGGTGGTGCGTGCCTGTATTCCCAGCTACTCAGGAGGCTGAGGCAGGAGAATTGCCTGAACCCAGGAGGCGGAGGCTGTGGTGAGCCGAGACCGCGCCATTGCACTCCAGCCTGGGTAACAAGAGCGAAACTCCGTCTCAAAAAAACAAAAAAATTAGCCAGGCTTGGTGATGTGTGTCTGTAATCCTCGCTACTCAGGAGGCTGAGACAGGAGAATCACTTAAACCCAGGAAGCGGAGGTTGCAGTGAGCCAAGATGGCACCACCACACTCTAGACAGGGTGAGACACTGTCTTAAATAAATTTTTAAAGTTAAGATAAATAAATCATAAAGTGTTTGAAAGTATTAGATGAGTGAAGATATGTAAAGCACTTAGAAATGCCTGGCACACCATACGTCCTCAATAAATTGGAACAACTAATACCTTTATGATCAGTTCCGTCCCATTTTGTGATTACATACAATAGTATTCCTTGGAACTGTTAATTTATCTTTAACCAATCCAAACAATGTACCATTAATTACACATTTTTACTTATAACCAATACTGCAAAGATCCTTTTACAGAGATCATGGCCAAGTAGTAGCAACTGCAAAGTCACAAAATATTTACTTTTAATATTTTGAGCTGGGAGCAGTGGCTCATGCCTGTAATCCCAGCAATTTGGGAGGCTGAGGCAGGCAGATCACCTAAGGTCAGGAGTTCAAAACCAGCCTGGCCAACATGGCGAAACCCCATCTCTACTAAAAAATATAAAAATTAGCCAGGTGCAGTGATGGGCACCTGTAATCCCAGCTACTCAGGAGGCTGAGGCAGGAGAATCGCTTGAACCCAGGAGGTGTAGGTTGCAGTGAGCTGAGATCATGCCATCGCACTACAGCCTGGGCAACAGAGTGAGACACCATCTCAAAAAAAAAAAAAAATTTGAAAGTGTAATTGCAGATTTTTCTCTCCAAAGGTTTTCCTAGTTCACTTTTTATGCAACAGTACAAGCATTCCCGAATCTCTAGACCCTGGCTAAACAGGAATCAGTTCCTTTTTCTAAAAAAGTCATTGACAATATAAGTAAAACCAAATACATAGATACAAAGCTCTTTTATTAACATTTTCACACATTAAAATTATTAGTGAAGATCATTTTTTTTCCATAAATTTGTTTCTTTTCTTAATGATACTCCTATTCATTTCTTTTGCTTATATTCCAGTTGGGATTTTCTCTATATTACTAATCTTAACAGGAATTTAACCTATTAGACCTTTACCTAATGCTTAAGTATATCCCACCAGTTTGCTACTGTCTTTTACCATCATGCCTGATAGCTTTTGCTGTAGGGAAATTTAAAACATTTATATAAAAACTGTGCTTTAGCATCTACCTTCATGGAATGACTAAGAGGCAAAACTAGAGAAGAGATAGGCACTGAGATGGAAACTGAATGAGAGGCATTGTTGGGGTCTATCCTCCAAAGGTAAAATCAGGGCCAGGTGCAGTGGTTCATGCCTGTAATCCCAGCACTTTGAGAGGCTGAGTTGGGTGAATCACCTGAGGTCAGGAGTTCAAGACCAGCCTGGCCAATGCGGTGGAACCCCATCTCTAAGAAAAATACAAAATTATCTAGGCATGGTGGTGCATGCCTGTAATCGCAGCTACTCAGGAAGCTGAGGCAGGGCAATTGCTTGAACCTGGGAGGCAGAGGTTGCAGTAAGCTGAGATTGTGCCATTGCCCTCTGGCTCTGGCCTGGGAGACAAGAATGAAACTCTGTCTCAAAAAAAAAAAAAAAAAAGTAACATCAGGTACTTGTATGCTATGCACTCATGTCTCTGAATGGAAAACTCTTTTGTTCTGTCTACCTTTACATGAATATAGAATGTCAGATCCTCCTAATAGTTGGAAGCTTCAGTGTCCAACAAGTCAGCTACCTGGGAAATTTAGGGCAGTTATAAAATGTTCCCGTAACCTGTTTCCTCATATTTAAAATGCAGACAAATCATCTCATCCTCACATCTGAAAAACTGCAATGACAGACGGAAAGGGCTGGCAAGACATCTAAGTACTACTAGAACTTAAACTATCTACATGTTATTTTGATGAAATAAATTCACCCAAGAAATAAAATAGATGAGTGATAAAAATATAAACAGGAAAAAAAATATAGCTCTTCTTCTGTGAAAACATTTAATAATATTACACCATGTCATTCTTTAGATATTCTGTTTACAAAACACCTGATGGAACCAACATGAAACTGAGACATGAACCTCTTCAATGCAGAGCTCCTAAAACTTTAGGGACAAATAACATTGAATTCCTTCAAAACTGCTTTTAAAGAAATTGTTTTTATATGTAGGAAAAAAAGTCACTGCATTTAAAGTAGTAAAATTCTTAGAATTGATGAAAGGCTGAATAACGAATACTTGCTGTTGTTTTGTAAGGGCACTGCAATTCAATGGCATGTGAGGTAATCACCTACAATGCAGGTGATGCAATTACGTGGAGAAAGCACAACTGAAAATTTCATCTACTCAAGAGCTGCAAATGTGTACGAAAGAGAGTATGGGAAAGTGAAAAGAGCTAGTTTATGAGCAGGAAAGTAGCATAGATTATTTTTGATTAAAGCTTCTCTTATTTTTTCAAAGACTGTGTTTTGTAAAATACTAAAGGTGATAAACTAAAACAAACAAAACACACACATCTCAGCATACAGCATGCCTGGAAGATCTGTTTTTCACTAACCTTTCCAAGAAAGAGAAAAAATACATCTCTAATCTGTGAGAAATAAATCACATCTTAAAAGACAGTAAGGCATACTTTACTTACCTGAAACTTGGTCATTTTCTCCTGCTGCTTCTGGGGAAAGTCATAGTCCTGAGATAGCATAACTGGGGAAGACCAAAGAAGCCATGAGACACAAGCCTGCTGTTAGCCCATGTGGACGTATGAGGAAATTACAGAAATAGCCCTACATTCAGACAGGTGTAGCCACACACAGCTTGGTAAGCAGAACATGGACTGTATTGTAGCTACTAAAAGGCTTGACAACTCAGTGCCATTGGGCAGTGAACAATCTGCACAAATGCAGCATCCCTGCTACAAGAATTTCTGATGGCAGAGATGTTAAGAAACAAGAGGCAGTGTAATAACATATGAGGCCTCTAAAGTCAGATATCTGGGTTTAATTCCTAGAAATGACATTTACCATCTCTGTAACCTTGGGGGTACTAAAAACCCTCTCTATGCCTCACTTCTGTCATGTGTAAAATGAGGACATGGTAAGAATCATAAATTGTACCTCCCTCATAGGGTTTTTCCAAGGATTAAATAAGTAGATGGAGAGTTCTAAGAACCAGGAGTCCCTTTCTCTTATAGTTACTAAAAAGCATAAGAGGCCGGACACAGTGGCTCAGGCTTGTAATCCCAGCAGTTTGGAAGGCCAAGAAGGGCAGATCACATGAGGTCAGAAGTTTGAGACCAGCCTGGCCAACACGACGAAACCTCATCTTTACTAAAAATAATAAAAATTAGCCAGTCGTGGTGGTGCATGTCTGTAATCCCAGCTACACTTGGGAGGGTGAGGCATGAGAATTGCTTGAACCTGGAAGGTAGAAGTTGCAGTGAACCGAGATTGTGCCAATACACTCCAACCTGGATGACAGAGTAAGACTCTGTCTAAAAAAAAAGGCAGATGACATTTTGCATCATACACTTCCCCTGCAAATACTGCTCTTGAAAGTAACCTTTAATTTCTGAAAAGCTGAATTCTGTCTAAAGTTTCTTCTTAGTAATTTGTTGCCCAGCTAGTAATATTTTACTGACAATCGTATCAGTTTTCTAAAACATACCATTTCAGGTCAATTTACTTCATAAAGCCTAGAAAGAATCATTGGTAAATCCCTTTTATGTGCACAAAGATAAAGTAAAACATATAGCAAGGAGAAGGATAAAGACACAAATGAAAAATCAAGAAACATGAAAGATAAATTGAGAGGCTTCTATATTTGTCTAACAGGAATGTGAGAAGAGAATGCAGGATGGAGGGAATGACTGAGAGGTCTTATTTCAAGATACAATTGCTGAGAATTTCAAACAATTAATAAAGATACAAGTTCACATACAGAAATTCTTTTTTTTTTTGAGACAGAGTTTCGCTCTTGTTACCAAGGCTAGAGTGCAATGGCTTGATCTCGGCTCACCGCAACCTCCGCCTCCTGGGTTCAAACAATTCTCCTGCCTCAGCCTCCCGAGTAGCTGGGACTACAGACAGGCACCACCATGCCCAGCTAATTTTTGTACTTTTAGTAGAGACAGGGTTTCACCTTGTTGACCAAGATGGTCTCGATCTCTTGACCTTGTGATCTACCCACCTCTGCCTCCCAAAGTGCTGGGATGATAGGCAGGAGCCACTGCGCCCAGCCCAGAAATTCTTAACAGTATAAATAAACATACTCCAAAATAAACCACAGTAAAACTCAGGAATGCAAAAAGACTACGCAAACATAAAAAACTAAAAACAACAATAACCAAAGCTCCTAGAAAGAAAACATATTTGACCTAAAATAACGATTATATTGAGAGAAATAGAGTAACAGAATGGAAATTTAAAACAAACAACTATTACCTCCAAAAGAAACTGTCAACCATGAAGTATATGTTCAACTAAATGATTATTTACATGAGAAAGGAACGGTATTTTAGCTGAACAAAAATGAAGAAGATTTAGAACCATGTGAACCCTAAAAGATAGACTGCAAGAAGTAATGGTAAGAAAGTATTTGTAAGTATATTGATAATATAATAATCTGTGTTTAAGAAAAGCCAAAGAACTATAATGAAAATTTTTGAGGGTGGTTATAATAAAAAGTAGACCTATAACAACCTAGTCTATATTAAAAAAAAAAAAAAAAGTATCCTTTTTTTTTTGAGACAGAGTTTTGCTCTTGTTACCCAGGCTGGAGTGCAGTGGCTCCATCTCAGCTCACTGCAACCTCTGCCTGCTGGGTTCAAGCAATTCTCCTGCTTCAGCCTCCCGAGTAGCTGGGACTATAGGCGTGCGCCACCATGCCCAGCTAATTTTTGTATTTTTAGTAGAGACAGGGTTTCACCATGTTGACCATGATTGTCTTGATCTCTTGACCTCGTGATCCACCCACCTCAGCCTCCCAAAGTGCTGGGATTATAGGCGTGAGCCACCACGCCCGGCCTTTTTTTTTTTTTTTTGAGACAGAGTTTCATTCTTGTCGACTAGGCTGGAGTGCAATGGTGCAATCTCAGCTCAATGCAACCTCCACCTCCCACGTTCAAGCAATTCTCCTGCCTCCCAAAGTAGTCTGGATTACAGCTGTGCGTGACCATGCCCAGCAAATTTTTGTATTTTTTTTTTTTTTGAGACAGAGTTTCGCTCCTGTTATCCAGGCTGGAGTGTAATGGCGCAATCTCGGCTCACCACAACCTCAGCCTCCTGGGTTCAGGCAATTCTCCTGCCTCAGCCTCCCGAGTAGCTGGGATTACAGGCACGCGCCACCATACCCAGCTAATTTTGTGTATTTTTAGTAGAGACGGGGTTTCACCATGTTGACCAGGATTGTCTCAATCTCTTGACCTCGTGTTCCACCCGCCTTGGCCTCACAAAATGCTGGGATTACAGGCTTGAGCCACTGTGCCTGGCCATTTTTGTATTTTTAGTAGAGACGGGGTTTCACCATGTTTACCAGGATGGTCTCGATCTCTTGACCTCGTGATCCACCCGCCTCAGCCTCCCAAAGTGCTGGGATTATAGGCGTGAGCCACCACGCCCGGCTTTTTTTTTTTTTTTTTTTTTTTTTGAGACAGAGTTTCATTCTTGTCAACTAGGCTGGAGTGCAATGGTGCAATCTCAGCTCAATGAAACCTCCACCTCCCACCTTCAAGCAATTCTCCTGCCTCAGCCTTCTGAGTAGTCTGGATTACAGCTGTGGGTGACCGTGCCCAGCTAATTTTTGTATTTTTAGTAGATACAGCATTTCACCATTCTGGCCAGGCTGGTCTCAAAATCTTGACCTCAGGTGATCCACCCGTCTCAGCCTCCCAAAGTGCTAGGATTACAGGTGTGAGCCATTACACCCGGTCCCATCTTCTTTTAAGTCTTTTTTAGTCTCATTATTCTTCAGAATAAGAACACATGCTGATTAGATTTAGTATTTGCCAAGAGAATATTTTGTAAAGTTAAAAAAATGAGAAAAAATTTTTGCAAGCTACCCATCTGACAAAGGGCTAATATCCAGAATCTACAAATAACTTAAATTTACAAGAAAAAAACAACTCCATCAAAAAGTGGGCAAAGGATATAAACATATTTTTTAAAAGTCATTTATGCAGCCAACAAACATATTAAAAAAATGTTCATCATCACTGTTCATTAGAGAAATGCAAATCAAAATAACATGAGATACCACATCATGCCAGCTAGAATGGCAATCATTAAAAAAATCTGGAGACAACAGATGCTGGAGAGGATGTGGAGAAAGAGGAATGCTTTTACACTGTTAGTGGGAGTGTAAATTAGTTCAACCATTGTAGAACACAGTATGGCAAATCCTCAAGGATGTAGAAATAGAAATACAGTTTGACCCAGCAATCCTATTACTGGGTCAGATGGTATATACCCAAAGGATTATAAATCATTTTATTATAAAGACACATGCACACGTATGTTCACTGCGGCAGTTTATAATAGCAAAAACTTGGAACCAATCCAAATGCCCATCAATGATAGACTAGATAAAGAAAATATGGCAAATATGCAGCCTGGAATACTGTGCAGCCACAAAAAGGGTTAAGTTTATGTCCTTTACAGGGACATGGATGAATCTGGAAAACCATCATTCTCAGCAAACTGACACGAACAGAAAACCAAACACCTCATGTTCTCACTCCTAAGTGGGTGTTGAACAATGAGAACACCTGGACACAGGGAAGGGAACATCACACACTGGGGCTTGTTGCGGGGTGGGGAGACTAGGGGAGGGATATCGGGAGCAGGGATATTGGAGAGTGATAACAGGAGAAATACCTACTGTAGGTAATGGGGGACAGAGGCAGCAAACCACCATGGCATGTGAATACCTATGTAACAATCCTGCATGATCTGCACATGTACCTCAGAACTTATAGTAATGAAAAAAAGACACAAAACCATATAAACTCCAGACCAGTTGAGCACAAATAAAAGGAAATAAACTGAACAAAACTTAAAGACAAGAACAAAATATACACACAGATAGAATAAGCAAATTATCCCAGACTGCACTAAAAATGTTTGTATCTATGTGTGTGTATATGTGTGTGTGTGTGTGTGTGTGTGTGTGTGTATTCTAAAAGACACTACAAAAACATAATGACAAAAAGGTTTGAAAGAAAAGGAACAAAAAAAGATATACTGTACTGAGCAAATGGCAAAATCAAGCTTCAGTTTCAGAGTTCGTGGAATAATATTTTAAAAACTGACCTGATGTCTGGTATATGCTTTAAGACAACAGTCAGCAGCCTTTTTGGCACCAGCAACCAGTTTTGTGGAAGACAATTTTTCCATGGATGGGGACAAGGGAGATGGTTTGGGAATGAAACAATTTCACCTCAGATTACAAGCCATTAGTTACATTTTCATAAGGAGCATACAACCTAGATCCCTTGCATGTGTAGTCCGTCCTATGAGAATCTAATGCCCTTGCTGATCTGACAGGAGGAGAGCTCAGGTGGTACCACTCCAATTACCACCTTCTGTGCTGCCAGGTTACTAAAAAGTCACAGACTCGTACCATATCTGCTGCCCAGGGGTTGGAGACCCCTGCTTTAAAGACACTCTAGTTTAAAAAACAAAAGGCCATGAGAGGTGGCTCACGCCTGTAATCTAAGCACTTTGGGGAGCCAAGGTGGGCAGATCACAAGGTCAGGAGTTGGAGACCAGCCTGGCCAACATGGTGAAACCCGGTCTCTACTAAAATACAAAAAATTAGCTGAGCATGGTGGTGCATGCCTGTAATCCCAGCTACTCAGGAGGCTGAGAGAGGAGAATTGCTTGAACCCAGGAGGCGGAGGTTGCAGTGAGCCGAGATCACACCACTGCACCCCAGCCTGGGCAACAGAGCGAAACTCTGTCTCAAAAAGTAATAATAATTAAAATAATAAATAAAAATAAAAAAAGGTGGGGGTGGGAGGAAGAGATCATATAGAGCAAACGGTGAATCTAAGTGTTGGTTACATGGGATTCACTGTACCACCCTTTTGATAGTTGAACATACTTGACATTTTTCATAATATATTAAGAAAAAAACTACAGAATACCAAACCTATTTTGAGAAACATCCATAGCAAATACTAAAGAGAAACACATTAAAGTGTTAGCACTTTTATTATAAGTAATTATTTTCTTTTTTGTTATCTGAATATAACATCACTGTCCAATAGAAATATACTGAGTCACATACGTAATTTTAAATTTTCCAGCAGTGACATATAAAAATAGCAAAAAAAGGTGAAATTAATTTTAATATGTCAGTGTATCCAAAATATCATTTTGACATACAATGCAAAAAATTATCGAGCCATCTTACATTTTTTGTACAAAGACTTTGAAACCCAGTGTGTATTTAACACTTACAGCACATCGCACTTCAGCCTCATTTCAAGTGCTCCCAGGGCACACGTAGCTTACAGCTACTGGTTTGGATGGTGCGCCTCTATAATAAGCATTCATTACTTCTATAACCAGAATATGACATATTTTGACATGGAATGAAAAAGTGAGATGTTGTAGGATTTTTCTAAAAAATTCAAAATTCATCAGTGCCGTTTTTGAGATCTTCCGCGATAAAATCCACACCTACATTCCCAGGCTGATTTCCAATGACTCACCTGTAGCTAAATGGATTACTATTTAAGATAACTGAAGGTAACTATATCATTGAGATTAAGATCACAGTCTCTGAACAAACAGAAAACAACAAAACTAAACAAACAAAAACAAACCAAACCAACAAAAAAGATCACACACTCTGAAAAGAACTGCTTAGGTTCAATCCCAGTCCACTTCTTACAATCAGCTGAATAACTTTGGGAAAGTATTTCATAAAATAAGCTCTGCTTAATTTACTCACAATAGCATGACCTACTTTATCAATATCTATGGTCCACAGATGACTGCCTTAAAATCAAAGTGGTAAGATGTTATTTATAATACTCATTTCCAAGTATCTTTCCTACCCACTTTCACATTTATTCAACAGCTATTTCAGTTGAATATTTTTCAGTAGTAACTTACTGAGTGAAGTAAACTTGATTAGTTCAAAGGACAGACAACAGAACAACAAAGAGTGTTCAAGAGCAGGTACCTGGGCTATGCTGGAAGAAGCAAAGAAGTCCCTCCGTCCTCCTCTTTGAGAATTCGGAGGCGGTGGGGAAAAAAAAAAAAAGGGATGCCGTGAGTTAGCACGATGGAGTCTCTATTCCTTATAAACGACAGTAAACATTCCCATGCACTGGAGCCTCCTGACTCAATCCTTCCTAAAGGAAAAAAAAAAGAAAATCTGTAAAAGTTCCGGAAGACCTCGGTCTCCTGAAGGATGCGACAAAGGGCCATGACATAAAGCCCTGACCTTTCTTCTCTCTTCACTGGAGCTTCCAGTAAAAAGGGCGCTTGTGAGGGAATCAGTTTATCAACAGCTGAAGGCAACCAGGTATCAGGTGCCACTACCGTTCTAAGGTTTGACCCGTATTATCTTGTTTGAGTCTAATTACAACCCCACCCAGTAAATACCTTTATTGCTATTTTTTACAGATGATCAAACACAAGCGCGGTAATAGGTAACCCGCTGTTTATTATACCTACAGAAGTAGCGGCGCAGCTCGCCAAGGGAGGGATGAGAGCAAACTTCTGCCCTTGGCCTCTCGGCCTCCGCCCGCGGCCTCGACATCTCCATCCTAAGACTGATGGCTGGAGAGAGCCACGCGCAGGCTGGAAAGCTTCAGAAAGGCCCTGGGGGGTGTAACGTTGACTCACCTCCGGGACCCAAAAGATGGTGGCGGCCTCGCTTTCCGGGGCGGAAGTGGCTCTGCCGGTCCGGAGCTCCTTAACTACCCTTCCCAGAAGCCCCGCGCTCCTGCGGCCCAACTGTTTCCTCCGGACAGAGTTCTGGAATACGTTTCCCAGAACTCCCAGGAGGAAGAAACTTCCAGCTGGCGCCTTCTTCGCGCTATAAAAAAAAAAAAAAAAAAGAGAGAGAGAGAGAGAGAGCGCGAGGGAGAGACGGTTACCGAGAGTGTGACAAAAGAATCTCCAAATTCTTGGAGCTCTCGGACTACAACATCCAGAATCCCCTTCATGGCTTCTTGCCGTTTTGCCCGGCTGAAGCAGTTCTCTGACGCCAGTGGAATTTAGGTTTTTCTCATTAACAACAACAACAAACCAGCTAATCTGTGAAGAATTGGAACCCTAAAGGAAAAAAACGATTTTAAGAAACACATACCACTTCCAAAAAAAAAAAAAGGCAGGAGAAAGCCTTTTTTTTTTTTTTTACATTTAACAAGATCAACTAATAGGAAAAAAAATACTCTTTAGATACAAAAAGAACGAAAGAGCAACCAAAAAATGCAATGAAAGCAGAATATCCTGTGGACTTCCACTTTTGTTAATAGCACAGTTATGTAATTCAGAACAATTTGCTTGCTGAGGATAGCTATGACATAGAAAACACAAGCTTTGCCATATTGTATGATCAACTCAAAGCAACTAGGGCCACTGTAATCATTCCTCAAGGAGTTTCTGAATTTGAAAGATTAACAAGTTAATTACTTCAGTGTTTAAACCATGATTTTTATTTGCTTAAATGTATGATGTATAATGGAACTGATGTTTCAGAGAACTGAGGGTTGAATACCTAAAAATATCCACTACAGTACATGTTTGCAGTTCTCAGTTACTAAATATGTATTCTTTATTCTGTTGTATACAACTACCTCGTACAAAGCACCAAGTACGTGCCAGGAACTAGTCCAAACTCTTCAGACTCTGGGACCCTCACTATATTTTCACAACTTTTGTTGTTAAGAGTTGTAAGATGGGAGTTTGGTTCTTCTGCCCAGGCTGGAGTGAAGTGGCACCATCTCGGCTCACTGCAACCTTTGTCCCCTGCCCCAGGTTCAAGTGATTCTCCTGCCTCAGCCTCCTGAGTAGTTGGGATTATAAGCACCGCCCCCCCACCACATCCAGCTAATTTTTTGTATTTTCAGTAGAGACAGGGTTTCACCATGTTGGCCTAGCTAGTCTTGAATTCCTGATCTCAGGTGATCCACTTGTCCTCGCCTCCCAAAGAGCTAGGATTACAGGCGTGAGCCACCGTGCCCAGCTCATTATCACAACTTTTTTAAGACAAATAATGGAATGTCCTCTAGTTTACTGTTTGGGATCCAGAGCCAGAGAGAGGTTAAGTATATCTCCTAAGATGAAAATTCGATTATTTTCACTTGCATGTCTATCCAATGCCCTTAAGAGAAGGTTCAAATGCTTTAACAAGTCACACAGGAATGTTCAAATGCTTTAACAAAACAAACAGGAATCTTCCAGACGGTGTTTCTCTCTTCAAATCCACTTTCAACTCTACATGTCCAGTCATAATAGATTCCTTGTACTCCTACACAAAGCCTCTAATTCTTCATATCTGCTGTCCCTTCTGTCATAACCTGCTACTCTTTTCACTCCTAGGTCTTTATATTAAATATTCTCTGCTCTAGTAAGACTTACTATGGGTTCTTGCCTTGTAGACTAATAAAAGTAGTGTGTAGTAGCCAAGATTACAGACTTAGTATAAAGCTGCCTAGATTAAAATACTAGTGCTTCCATTTATTCTGTCCCTTTTTTCTTCATTTGTTAAATGGAGACGATAATAGGGTTAATATGAGGTACAAATAACATGTAAATTCTGCCTGATTCATGACCACCCTATAAAAAGTTATCAAATGGTAACCTCAGATGATAAACACAGGACACAATTTATGGATAGAAGGTTTCTTTTTTTTTTTTTTTTTTTGAGACAGAGTCTTGCTCTGTCACCAGGCTGGAGAGTGCAGTGGTGCAATCTCGGCTCACTGCAACCTCTGCCTCCAGGGTTCAAGTGATTCTTCTGCCTCAGCCTCCCAAATAGCTGGGACCACAGGTGCATGCCACCACACCTGGCTAATTTTTTTGTATTTTTAGTAGAGATGGGGTTTCACCGTGTAGGCCAGGATGGTCTCGATCTCTTGACCTTGTGATCCGCCCGCCTCAGCCTCCCAAAGTGCTGGGATTACAGGCGTGAGCCACCACGCCCAGCTGGATGGAAGGTTTCTACAAAAATTTGCTTTGGACATTACAGTATTATCAATAACTACACATCAACTTTTGATTACTGTGGAAAAAAAAACTGAAGAATATGCAAATGCATCCCACCAAAAGCAAGATAAAGGATCACTAATATTGACATTATTTCCTTTTATTTTTTCCTAAATCCACTTCAGGAATTCTGAATACAATCTACCTGAGCTGCAGCTTTCTGTTTCAGGATACTAGGCAGTTCGACAAACCACAAGCACTGAACCCCTCCTTGTCAGTCTTGTGCTGGATACTAAGCACATGGTAAAGAATGGGACATAGCTTTTCCTAAGTCGGCACTCGCCAAGGAGAAAGCCATGTTCAGTTCGAGCGCCAAGATCGTGAAGCCCAATGGCGAGAAGCCAGACGAGTTCGAGTCCGGCATCTCCCAGGCTCTTCTGGAGCTGGAGATGAACTCGGACCTCAAGGCTCAGCTCAGGGAGCTGAATATTACGGCAGCCAAGGAAATTGAAGTTGGTGGTGGCCGGAAAGCTATCATAATCTTTGTTCCTGTTCCTCAACTAAAATCTTTCCAGAAAATCCAAGTCCGGCTAGTACGCGAATTGGAGAAAAAGTTCAGTGGGAAGCATGTTGTCTTTATCGCCCAGAGGAGAATTCTGCCTAAACCAACTCGAAAAAGCCATACAAAAAATAAACAAAAGCGTCCCAGGAGCTGTACACTGACAGCTGTGCACGATGCAATCCCTGAGGACCTGGTCTTCCCAAGTGAAATTGTGGGCAAGAGAATCCGCGTGAAACTGGATGGCAGCTGGCTCATAAAGGTTCATTTGGACAAAGCACAGCAGAACAATGTGGAACACAAGGTTGAAACTTTTTCTGGTGTCTATAAGAAGCTCACGGGCAAGGATGTTAATTTTGAATTCCCAGAGTTTCAATTGTAAACAGAATGACTAAATAAAAAATATATTCGCAAAAAAAAAAAAAAAAAAAAAAAAAAGAATGGGACATAGTCCCTTCAACGACCTAAGATGCAGCCTAAGGGAGAAACAGATCAGATCTAAAAGACCCTAAGTAAAAAATTCCAAATAAAGAAGCCACATTCATAACTATTCCTTTCCAAATCTCAGTGTTTCCCTCTCCCTTTGATTTCTCACATAACTACCTTCTTCCTAGTTGCCAAGAAAGCAAACTCTGGTAACTTGCTTTCCTTTGCTCGTCATTCATAATTATTTTTTGTTAACTACTTTTAATTTCTACTGTCTGCCTGCTAGGATTTGGTTTTGATTTTAGTCAGATTCCTCCTCTTCCCACCAAAACCATACATGGGAGAAGAGTAATAGATGCAATAAGATAGGCAAATGTTTACAAGAGTTAAAGACAAACATACACATAGAGAAAATAGTGTAATGACCCTCTACACTATTTCATTACATTATTTTCTCTCCATGTATGTTTGGGAATTTCTATGAGAAAAATTAGAGAACTACCATGTGTGGCATGGCACCAATGCATAAATGCATTAAAAATGTTAGCAGTGGCTATCTCTAAATCCTGAGATTATGGGTTATTTTAAGGAATGAGGTCTCATTGTCATCCAGGCTGTAGTGCAGTGCCATGGTTATAGCTCACCGCCAACTTCAAACTCCTAAGCTCAACCAATCCTCCCGCCTCAGCCTCCCAAGTAGCTGGGACTACTGGTATGCACCACCACATGCGCTAATAGTTTAAATATTCAGCAGTGAATATTGGCAACTTTCATTTCCTTTTATATACTTCTGTATTTTCTAATCTCTCTATAATGGTCATGCATTACTTCTAATAAGGAGAATGCAGACTCTAAAGCCCCAAATCACCTTCCAAACCTTATAGAAAAAGATTTCCACGAACCATATACATGATTATTTCCTATGGTTGTAAGAAAAATTTACAGCATGGAGATTATGTACACAGACTTGAGGCTCCAACTCCTTGGGTTCTAATGGCAGTTCTGCCTCTTACTAAGTCTTCCGGTTCGTCTTCCCTCTTCTTTTTCTGAGAGCATTTCCATAAGAAACAGTACTTCTGAATACTTTCTCTAACCTTTTGATATGCATATAAACCTCATTAGATGCTATGTAAGCCTCTAGCCAGGCTTACAAGCTCGAAGTATGTTTGAAATTTCTGAGATTTGTCCCTTTTGAATGTAAACATCTGAGAAAATAATTGCACTGTCCCTCAATCACTGTAAGAGTTTAACCAAGCTGTAAATCAGCTAGCAGATGAGGTAAGAGAAGTTTTATTATTACTTTGGATAAAGTTAGTTAACTTAGACTGGATTCTTGAGTAAATTTAGAATAAATTTATGAAAAAATTTGCAGTTAATGATGAGACGAAGTCTTCTTATTGAAAAATGATTAATCTTGAGAACTGATGTACATAGTGGTCAAAAGCAGAATTGAAGAGGTGAGGAAGAAGACCCCTTCCTCTTAAGCTTCTAAGACCATTTCCCCTCAGCATTTCAAAAGGAGAAGTAAAAGTTGCAGAAGGCACAAGGCCAGTGGAGGAGACAAAACCGGCCACTAGCTGAACCTGGAGGTTAAAGATCAAACCCTCACCCTAGTTCCTATCCTATCTATAGATCACAGGCATGGTATGGAGGAATCTTCCCCAGAAGGCATTGTTCTTGCTTAATCACGATTAGACCCCCACCTAACTCACATACCCCTTGCTTACCTCATCGATCACGACCCTCTCACATGTAGCCTCTAAGATTGTGAGCCTTTCAAAGAGGCCAGGATTTTCTAGCCAGGGAGCTCAGTTCTTGAGATGTGAGTCTGCCAAGACTCCCAGCTGAATAAAAAGCCACTTCCTTCACAAACCTGGTGTCCAAGAGGTTTTGTCTGTGGCGTGTCCTGCTACAGAAAAACTAATAAAAATAAAAATGCAGGAAAGAAAAGCAGAAATTAAAGTTTTCTTTATAAGCAAACTTCCCTGACTCCTTCCCCCTCTTGTGGGATTGTATCCTGCTTTGTAAGAAGTTTATAAATTCTTGTATTCTTGTTCTCTACCGCTGATAACTGTTAAGTTTCTGTAACACAATGAAGGTCATGAGAAATTCCCAATCAGGCAGGACTCCAGCCTTCTGCACACTGTAGCAGAAGGCAATAGATAAGGCCTGTGCTAAAATCCTTGCGCTTTACAGATAGCGAACATCTGGGTCGAATAGCAACAATCATATGCAAACCTAAGTTAGGTGCCTATCATTACGTAATAAATTGCCTTTGTTCTACACCTGCAACCATGTTTTAGTGCCACTGTGTACTTCACGTATAAGAAGTCAAGCCGGCCAGGCGCGGTGGCTCACGCCTGTAATCCCAGCACTTTGAGAGGCCGAGGCGGGTGGATCACGAGTTCAAGACCAACCTGGCCAAGATGGTGAAACCCTGTCTCTACTAAAAATACAAAAAAACTTAGCTGGGCCTGGTGGAGGGAGCCTGTAATCTCAGCTACTCGGTAGGCTGAGGCAGAGAACTGCTTGAACCTGGGAGGCAGAAGTTGCAGTGAGCCGAGATTGCACCACTGCACTCCAGCCTTGGGGACAGAGTGAGACTACGTCTCAAAAAAAAAAAAAGTCAAGCCCTGCCTTTGTAAAGGGCTCAGCGAACCAGCTGGGCCGGTGTACACCTAAAATAAACTCCTTCCGTAACCTCAACGGGCTCTCCAGTCTCTGAAATCCCACAAGAGAATGCTATAAAAAGTTTAAAATTGCTTGACTGTATACACGGGGTGGAATTTCTTAATATTTTTCTTCAGATTACCTACAATACTATACAGTGTTTGTCCTTATTCAGCAATAAGACGGCTTTCTTTTCTACATTGTACAGAGAGGACTATTACCTTCGTTTCTTTCTCTGTTAAAATAGAACATAGTGGCACCTACCGCATATGGCTAGTTTGGTCATTTAATGAATAATTCGTATAAAAGTATAAGAGACTCCTACTCTCTACTTCAGAAATGAGGAGAATGGGACAGAGAAAGATTAATTCTCAGAACGTTATAACACTAGTGAGTGGCAGAGCTGACAAGTAGGTGGGAAAGGCTGGCTGCGGAACGCCAGGAGATCCTCTAACCAGGCGACAAACGACCCAGGACACTCCCAACCCCGGGACGCACGAACCGCTTCAAACCGGAGGCTCAGCCTAGAGGAAAGAACACAAACTGCTCCCAACTCCATCCTCTCAACTGGCAACAGCTTCTCGGGCCCTCCTCCAGACGAGGGCCAGGGTCCCGCTTGCTTCCCGACGAGGCTGAGAAAACCTGGAGGGTCCCTGTGGATCCAAACACTTATCTCCTGGAGCCCTCCAGCGAAAGAACCTTCCAGCGACTAAAGAGAAATCACGGACCACTTCCCACAATTCCCTAACACGGCGTTCCAAAAACGGAAGTGTCCCAGGCTATGCGGATCCCTGACTACACTTCCCAGAATGCCCGAGAAGGGGGGGCGGGGGAACGACCATAGTTCCGCCCCTTGGAGCGGGTATACAGCCGAGTAACCTGAGCTTCTGGGTATCCTAGAAAGCTAGAGGGAATCTTGGACAAGTTTTGCAATTTTAGGGTGTTAGTGCTTATCTTAGTGGTACCTGCCGATTCTATTATTCAAGGGCCTCGGGGAAGAAGTTGGGGTTCGGGAGGAGAAGGGTACCTAGTAAAACCCGAAGAGCTGCATACTGGAGTAAAGATGAAAAGCAAATAGATCGTCTTCAGTAGGGGACTGAAGTCAAACTTGAAATCACATTCTTACCTGAAAATAGTAAACCTTTTTTCTTAGTGTTTGCAGGTACCTGACGAAAACAAATAAAAATATTCTACACGAGAAAGAGACTGTCATCCTAGGCCTCATATTCTTTCTCTAATTTTAAAATAATATTGGATAATGTACAATAGTCCTTGAAGAAAATAACACTTTAAGATATACAAAGAAAGGCCGGGGCAGTGGCTCAAGCCTGTAATCCCAGACCTTTGGGAGGCCAGGGCGGGCGGATCACGAAGTCAGGAGTTCGAAACCAGCTTGGCCAGCATGGTGAAACCCCTGTTTTTACTAAAAATACAGATTAGCCGGGCATGGTGGTAGGCGCCTGTAATCCCAGCCACTTGGGAGGCTGAGGCAGGATAATCGCTTGAACCTGGGAGGCAGAGTTTGCACGGAGCCGAGACAATGCCATTGCACTCCAGCCTGGGAGATACAGCAAGACTCCATCTCAAAGAAAAAAAAAAAAAAAAGAGTAAAATAAAAAGATAAAGAAACACTTCATAATAATGAAAATTTTCGCCGGGCGCGGTGGCTCAAGCCTATAATCCAAGCACTTTGGGAGGCCGAGGCGGGTGGATCACGAGGTCAAGAGATCGAGACCATCCTGCTCAACATGGTGAAACCCCATCTCTACCAAAAATACAAAAATTAGCTGGGCACGGTGGTGCGCGCCTGTAGTCCCAGCTACTTGGGAGGCTGAGGCAGGAGAATTGCTTGAACCCAGAAGGTGCAGGTTGCGGTGAGTCGAGGTCGTCCCATTGCACTCCCGTCTGGGTAACAACAGCGAAACTCCGTCTCAAAATAAATAAATAAATAATAATGAAAATTTTCTATCGACAATAAGTCTTACATAACATAAAACAATTTATGTAACCCTCCTAATTTCTCCTTTAAAAGCCCTTGTCTTTCTTTACCTCCCTGAATACACCCACTATATCCCCATTGCAATACTTATTCCTGAATAAATACAATTTTATTTTAGAGATCTTCTCTCTGTGTCTGTTATTTAGGTTGATATAAAGTTTGTGTCAAGAAGTGAGACTGAAGTTGGCTGACCTCAAACGGGTCAGCATCCCCCAGAACCTAGTGAGGTACAAACATTACCTCTTTTGAGCCCGCTGCTTCTATGGCTTGCCTTTTCTGCTCTGGTGGATCTTCACTTAAATTCTCAGACTTCCTTCTTTTGGTAAGTTCTTTTGACTCTATCCAGGATCTGGTTTGGCCATAAGTCCACCTTAAATGAAGGACCTTGCAACCCTCTTGGGACTACAAAGAAACTTTTTCTTTTATGGAAAGCCTCTTCTTATACCAAGGCCAACTGTTCTTTTAGACAGTACTGTGGTTCCTACAGAACTTATGTTCTGTGTGGCATGTATTTTCTGCTGAATTCGCTTTGGTTTTCGGCAAACCTAGTTTTATATTTTGTTTGCTCTGCAAGCCTGGCCTAACATTTTTGTGAGCACCCTTCATTTGGTTTCATGTCAGTCTGGTTACATGTGACTGTAAATGATTTGGCTCTTTTGTTTTCCCTGCTTGTTTCGGAACATCTTCCAAAAGCAAAAATAAACCTTCTAAATGATAGGCACAGTATATTACTATTTTAATGTATCATGACTAAAATTTTAAAGGGAAAATATTTTTGTATTGTCTGCATGTTCCTGTGTCTATATGTTATATGTATGTAATATTTTCTACCAAAATATATGAGAGCTCTTTAATTGACTTAAAGAAAAATTAGGTACTGGGCGCGGTGGCTCACGCCTATAATCCCAGCACTTTGGGAAGCTGAGGTGGGTGGATCACGAGGTCAAGAGATCGAGACCATCCTGGTCAACAAGGTGAAACCCCATCTCTACTAAAAATACAAAACTTAGCTGAGCATGGTGGTGCGCGCCTGTAGTCCCAGCTACTCGGGAGGCTGAGGCAGGAGAATTGCTTGAACCCAGGAGGCGGAGGTTGCGGTGAGCCAAGATCGTGCCATTGCACTCCAGTCTGGGTAACAACAGCAAAACTCCATCTCAAAAACAAAAAAAAAAAAAAGGAAAAGAAAAGAAAAATTAGGCACTCAAGTAATTTATCAGAAAAATAGTAGTTAACCCAAATTTTTTTAAGTTCACATGACCTGGGTAAATCTTTGGTAAATAAACTGATTTTTAGTGGCCAATAAAGTCACTGGGACCAGGCATGGTGACTTGTGCCTGTAATCCCAGCCACTTGGGAGGCTGAAACAGGAGAAATACATGAAACAAGACTTCCATAACTCTTGCAACTTTCAAGATACTGCTAGTGGCACTAACCCCTGCAATTCCTCCATGAATGTGGTTTTGCTTTCAGGTTACCATTTTTGGTACATACAAAGCATTTAGTGTTTGTTCTTATCAAAATAGTCCTCTTTCATGGATCAGGTAACGTTCAGTATGAGGATTCTGCCAGCTATTGAACGCAGGTGTTGCAACTTTGCATTCTAGAACGTGGAAAGTAATCAGAGGATGAGTTCAGGGATCCATTCAGACAGCACAAATGGGCCTGAGCAAATATATCCATTAATTATTAGTCCTCTATAAGCCCTTCTGCTACCTGGTGGGCTACAGTGACATTTTAGGATTCTCAGAGTTAATGTCAATTCAGCTCTAGTGACCAGTAATCCCTCCATATTCAGATTGTTTCCAATTACCTAAATCACAGCTACCATTAAATATGGCTGCAAGTCACTTTGGAAAAGTGCAGGATGATTGATGGTAGTATAAATCAGTTTAGGCAGCATATCAGTGTACTTTCTCAAGGGGACTTGACCCATGCTTCAAGGTGTTCTGGGAATGAGAACTCACTCACATTATGGAATTGCCTGAGAGCCCACAATTCTCCCTCATGTTTATTTACCAGACCCAGAGTTTTTCCACTTATTCAAACCAAGCTGGAATGCAGTAGGCTTCTGATCCGTTTCACCCAGATTGACCCCACAATCTACAAGCAAATGCAAAGATCTCTGATAATCCCTTTGGCTTTGCTGATCATGATGATAAACATGCTCATTTTGTCCTTCCCAATGAAGTGCCTCCACTTGATCCCTGATGCTCCAAGATCCCATCACCTTCACTGAGTTTTTTTTTAAGCCCATTTTAATGTTACAATTTTCCTCTCTCGTCCCTGGTCTGCAGAGAAGAGTTACTACAGAAGTCTCCAAATCTGCCAATGCTCCTTTCACCAATGAATTCTCAAGTCTTTGGCAAAGAGCATCTTCAGAATCTTCCCAGAGCACAACAGGGGTTGAGTAAGGTTTTACATAAATCCACTCCAGCATTCTGGTATTCCTATATCTCTGTATATGTTCCATAACACTGGTTCTCAGTTGGGGACAATTTCCACCCCCCACCCCCGACCACTGATGTTTGGCAGTGTCTGGAAACATTTTTGCTTGGCTGAGGTGTGTGTGTGTATGTGTGCATGCACGCACCTAGTAGCTAGAGGCCAAGAATACTGCTAAACATCCTATAATGCATAGAACATCCCCTAACAACAGGGCAAAACAGTCTAAAATGTCAGCTGTGCCAAGGTCAAGAAATTCTACAACATACTTACAAAGTTCTGGCATTTTTTACTTTAGGGTAGGCTAACGTTTTTGTATCCAGGTTTTACACAACTGAGAAAACTGTTGAAAGCATTCCCAGGTGCTCAAGCTAACAGTGGATCTGGAATCACTGTTCACTGCACCTGTATCAGCAAATCCAGCCAAATCCATCATTATATTTCCACCTAATTCAACACCTGTAAGATCTACAACCATATTTCTCAGGCTTCTATTGCTATAAATTACAAAAATCCTTATTTTGTCTATATATTGCCTCATGGTCATATTTTTCACTTGATGACTCCCCGCATTGTCTGTGAGGACCTGAGTTTCACTACTGGTCTAGAAAAATGAGAAGTAGTGGAGACAAGTCTTGAGGATCTAAAGTCTTTTGCAAGGAAATCATCTCAGGTAAGGTCATCACAGGTTCTTCAGGCAAGGGAGACCGACCTCAGAGAGAGGAGGAAGGGCTCCTTCTAACGGGAAGAGAGGCTCAGGTAGATTGAGCAAAGTCCTCAACTTTGTTGGAATCTGCTCCTTTGTTCCCATTCAAAATTTTCAGGATCCCATTCCTTCCCATTGGTGCCTTGTGAAATGAGAGACTAAAAGTTGTGAATTCGATGTTGTGAATTCAGCCACTGATTTTGACTTTGCATCACTCTTTCTCAAAAACAAAGGAATGCTGATAATATATAACACATTCTCCAAAATGTTAATATGCAGCCAAACTAAAAGCTAAGAAAAATCTCCTGGAGGCTCAAAATAGGGAAATTGAGTCCATGGTGGCAAGGGAGAGGTGAAACTTACTTTTTTCTTGAGACAGGGTCTCGTTTTGTCACCCAGGCTGCAGTGCAGTGTTGAGGCCATGGCTCACTGCAGCCTTGACCTCCCGGGCTCAAGTGCTCCTTCCACCTCAGCTTCCTGAGTAGCTAGCACCACATATGTGTACCTCCATGGCTAGCTAACATAAAAAAAAATTTTTTATAGATACAGGGTCTCACTGTATTGCCCAGGCTAGTCTTGAACTCCTGAGATCAAGAGATCCTCCCACTTAGGCCTCCCAAAGGGCTGGGATTGCAGGTATGCAATCCCACTGCACCTGGCTGGGCTGAAACTTAATAGCTCACAAAAGGCAAAAGAACAGGATACACAACTAGCAGTCTAATCTTGACTGTAGATGCGAATCAAGGCCAGAGGAGCCATAAACACTGTGAGTAGTAAACTAACAAACACTACAAATGAAACAGCACTGCTCCCTGGTTGCTAGCCCCATCTTGAACCTAACGACCCACGGTTAAGCAGAAGGGCAGATATGAGAATCTAAAGAAAATCATTTTGGAATCCTGACCGAAGTAGGTCCAAGTCCTGCTCTACCTGTGGTCTTTTACATTATGCCAGACCAATCATTCTGGTTTAACATAAGGGTTGGTAAATTTTTTGTGTGTAAAGGGCCATAAAGTACATATTTTAGAT